AGGTAGCATAGAAAACAAACCTGATCCAATAACAGTATGCGAGTATATTCATTTGTTGATTACAAACATTGTAAAATATATTGTGATGATCTTCATGCTTCAGTGATGGCATTTCTTGTTTTCTTTTTCTAGTGCTGGGAATAATTCCACAGACTCCAGAATATTGGGCTTTATTTTTTTAATGTATAGAAAAATAGCCTTTACCCTTTATGAAGTCCTGAAGTAAAGTATTGAGAGGGAAACACACACACACACACACACACACACACACACACACACACACACACACACACACATCTCTCCCCGTTTTTGAAACATAGGAGTAAAGGGGAAAAAAAGGCTGTGGGATAACAATCTTCCTGTCACATATTGCATAAAGTGATGGTAATCATCAGGCCCTCTACTCTACATAGACCCCCATCAACTGTACATATGATAATACTCTGCAAAATTCACCAAAGGTCACAATGGGACAGAATGTTGTAAGCATGACCATGAAAGGCAGTGTGCTGCCTGGACCATTCCAGTCTGCAAACCCATTGTTTCTGGTCCACAGTGAGAAAAACATGAAAAATTGAGAGTGGTGTCCAAGGACTATTATGGAAATGGGACAAAATAATTTAAGTCTGCTGAATCAAATGAAGGATTTGTGCTTGCGTTTTTAGATGTCTGAGATTTTACTTCATTTTCCCAGCCATTCACTTTCATTGTGCTTTTACAAAGGCAACGGGGAACCTGTCCTGTGCCCCACAAAAGCTGAGAAGCATTGATAAAAAGGCATTATTATTTTTTGAAATTTTGCTTAAGGACAGCAAATTTCTAATTACAAACCAGCCACGGCACTGAGACACTGTTCCAGGGCCTGTTCATACTCAAGCTGGTTGTGAAACAACTTTGTCTTGCACTGAGTAACCTAGTTATTTGGTAGTCTGAAACCATGCAAAACAGGGGGTACATTCTTGATATTGCCTTATAATATCAAGATCCCCAAAATCTAAAAGGACAGCTAAGTAATTCAAAAAAAATTTAGTAATTAATCAGCATTTGTGCATGGAGAAACTTGGTTTCTGATGTCCAAACCAAAAAATAAAACAAACAAAAACAAAAAGACATTGTTTATAAGAAATGGTAGTGATTATGCCTAATGGTTGTGTATAATTGTGGGGACTCCTTCGAGAGAAGCTGCCTCACCTTGCAACATTCAGAAAGAGGGTAGTGAACAGGACCGTTCACATGAAGAGTATAGAATGATGTTGACCTCACTGGCTATGTTGATGGAATCAAAGCATGGCTGGCAGAGTGTGATTCAAGGCTTAAGAAAACTTGCTGCAAAGATCACCAGCCTATAATGCACACCACCAGAGGAACTAGGATACAAGGAAGATTCTAAGAGATTCATATAAGGTCCCTTACAGAAAGGAGAAGGGGCAAGTTCTCCAGAGGACATGGGGAGTGAGGGGGGGCAGTAAATGGAGAGGGAACTAGGAGAAAGAGAAGGGGAGGAGAGGAAAGCACGTGGGACTAGGAAGATTGAGTCAGGGGAGGAATAAAAGAAAGAAGAGAGGAGAGAGAGACAGAGAGAGAGAGAGAGAGAGAGAGACCATAAAAGAGGGAGCCATTATAGGCTTGAAGAGAAAATTGGACCTAAAGAAATACTCAGAGACCTATAAGACTGACTCCAACTAACAAGTTGAGCAACAGTGGAAAGGCTACCATAAATATCCTTCCCTGATAATGAGATTGACTATTAACTTATTCACCATCATGGAGCCATCATGTAGTAGCTGATGGAAACAGAAGCAAACAACCACAACTAAACACTGAGCCGAACTAGAATCCAGATGCAGAGAGGAAGGACAAGGCCAGGCTGCAGAAACACATAGAGTCAGCTGACCTGAACAAGGAGGATCTAAGGGCCCCCCAGACTGATAGCTGGGAATCCAGCATTGGACTGATTCGGACCCCCTGAACATGGGCCTCAGCTAGAAGGACTGAGCAGTCTAAGGGACCTCAGAGAGTGTAACCAGGACATATTCCTGGTGCACAAAAGAACCTTGCGAACACATCCTCCATGAAGGGATACTGCCTTAACCTAGAGACAGGAGAGAAGTTCTAGTCCCTACTTCAAATGACTTGATATATTTACATGACCCCACCTGGAGGGCATCACCCTACATGTGGAGTGGGGGAGGATGGGAGGATGGAAGAGGAAAAGAGGGAAGAAGGGAGGGAGAGGGAACTGGGATCGATATGTAAAATAAAAATTAAAAATTAAAAAAAAAAAAGAAAGAAAACTTGCTGCCCTTTCAGAGGTCTGGGGCTTGGTCCCAGCTTACACCTTGCATGGCTCACAACTACCTGTAACTTCACTCCAGGGAATCCAATGCCCTCTCTGGCCTCCATGGACACCTGTACACATGGGCACACAAACACATACAACTGAAACAAATGTTTCAAACTAAATAAGTAAAACATGTTTTCTCCCAACTCCTCTGAAGTCCAGAACGCCATGTTGATTGAAGTCAACCAGAGAATTCTTGTTCCCCAGCTGTTGTTCAGAAACACTGAGGGCAAGTCTGAGCTTGGTGAGAAATACTCTAAGGATCAACTTATTGGTATCTTCCTAGACCTTAAGAATAGCACAGAATTAGGTAAACTTCAAGAGCTGTGACTTGTTAGGACATGTGGGAAGGTGCACTGCCTGGTTCTTGTCTCACAGTACACTACGCATATGCTTCTGTACCTCCCAAACTGCCCAGGAATCCTTGAACAAACTCTCAGACTTAAGCCAGGGACATAGGTAATCGGTCCACACCTTTCTAAGTACCAATCATATTTGTGAGGTCCCATCCCTGATGATTCATGTCACAGACAGTAGAATTCCATACCTGTCTATCCAGTCAGTCATGAGACTCAAGCCAGATCCATCCATAATTTAGAAGGATCTGAGGGTGTATTTTAGAGTTAGGAGTCTTGTGATGGGAAGAAAAACACAAAGAAGAGGAGAGAAGGAAGGAAGGAAGGAAGAAAGGAAGGAAGGAAGGAAGAAAGGAAGGAAGGAAGTTCAGACCTATTGATAATTTCGGATGAAGGAAAAAAAATCTGATTTCAGAGGAAATTTTGTATTCTTTTCATTTATGAAGGTAAAAAAGCATTAATGAAATCTTGCTACCAAAGGAAGTAACAGCTCCACAGTTCATTATAGTTGTTACAGTGTCTTTAAGCAACATGATTATCTTCATTTGAGTTTTTTCTAGTCTAAACTAGTTTTAAACCCAATAGTCTGCAGTCTCTGCCTTATCCTTATGAGGAGATTGCACTTTGCACTTGGTCACCAAACCTGACCCTCTGTCTTCATTTGAAAGAATGTTTCTAGAGCTTTTTATTTGATGTGTTAAAGATAACACCTAACATAAGGGTACCATTAAGGAAGGGCACAAGGTGGTTTCTGTGCCAGGGTGTGAAGGGGTGTGCCATTACTATATTCTGTGGTCCAAACACATTTTTCAAACACTTCAGTAATCACATTTTAGTGTAGTTAGTTTCTTTTGCAATTTCATGCATCTAATTGTATGCACCAGCAAATGCTATTTTGCAAAGGTATCCGTAATGGAGAGTGCCTCTGGGACTTAGAAAGGACAATTGTTTAGCTCTCCATCGACCATTGGATACAACTCAGGGTCCCTTTGGGCTGGTCACAGATGTGTGGAGCAGAGATTTTTTTTCTTTTCTCTTTGGTGAGGGGCCAGGTACAAACTGGCATCTGCTTTTCCTTAATGGTTGGTTACAAAACAGAAGTTTGGCCTGATGTGGCAGCATATGCTGGTAATCCTCTTGAGGGTAAGGCAAAAAAGCTTCAAATTCAAGGTCATCCTAGGCTACAATAATAAAACACTGTCAAAGAATGATGTTCCTTAAGAATCCACTGATTTTTAACTTCTACGTACACATGGCAGGTGGAAATTAAACACTGGAAACAAGTAGAAACTGATTTCAGTTTATTGAAGTTAGCAGCTGTTCTAACCTCAATGAGTGAGCTCCCTCTTTATATTTTTTTATTTCTCCGTGAGTATCAACATATAAGTGTATATAACTACGAGCATCAAAATGAAAATGGAGAAAGTAGAGAAAATTTACTATTACTCCAATAAATTCTGGGTTTGGGGGATTTTAGTCTAATATAAATCTTAATATAAAAGGATATAATTCCACTCCTAAGTTTTTGTAAGGCCTGTCTACAACTTTTTTTTTATCTTTTTTTCAACTAAGAAAAAAAAAAGGAAGGAATATTTGAAGCATTATAGCTGGAGAGATGGCTGAGCCTTGGAACACTGACTACACTTCCTGGGGACACCCTTTTCTGACCTCTGTAGACAGCAGGCATGGATGTGATACACATACATTCCTGCAGACAAAACATATGAAATGCATATGAAATAAAACATCTAAACCAAAGCATATTACTCTAGGGAGGGCCATGAGTAGCCTAAGCACTTGGCATATGGAGGCCGGAGGATCAGAAGTTCACTGCCAGCCTGGACTACATGAGACCTTGTTATAAAAAACAGAAGGAAATAAAAAAGTACAATTTAAATATATATGATATATTTAATATATAATGTTTAATAAAGGAGGAAATAAAAAGTACAATTTAAATATATATTATATCTTTAATATATAATGTTTAATACACTTTCTATATTATTTAATAATAAATAATATGAACGTACTACATACTTATCCAACAACAAAACTATTCTATGATTGTAGATGTGGCTCAGTATTTGCCTAACATGGACAAGGCTCTGGGCTTCTTAAAACGAAAAATAAATAAAAAGGTGTGTTGTGGGGGGTGGGGGATTCACCCCAAACACCAAAACAGCAAAAGAAGAGTCCAAACTTAATTAAAACAAACTCCACAGAGGTCACTCCAAAGTTTCTCAAGGCGATGAGCAGGTGCAGCGACGCGTGGGGCGTTTTGAAAGCAGGCAGTTCAGTCGGGTTCCCACAGGGCCATGTGCGGCTGTGCTCCGAGGCCGCGGCGCCGGGCGGAGTCTGGGCTGCAGATCCGGCGCTCGGGGCGGGGAGCGGGCGCGGCCCTGCGCTCGGGGCGGGGAGCTGGCCCAGCGTCCCGTGCAGCCCGGCCAGGCCGGAGCCAGACGGCGGGCGGGTCCCGCGCCATGGGGCGACTGGTGGCTCTGAGTTTGCTGGGCATCGGGCTGGCGCTGCTGGGAGAGCGGTTCCTGGCGCTCAGGTAGGTGCTGCCCAGGACCCCGGGTCGAAGATCCTCAGGCTGGGCTGGCTGAGCAGCTTGGGGGACACCAGCGACAGAGCTTCTGTAGCTCTGGGGACCAGGCCGAGGGAAGAACTTTTGGATCATCACCGGTGTGCCATGTAGCCGGCCCAGCCCACCGCCACCACGACCTAGACACTTTGTGAAAAGTTTTGCCCAGCCTTGGCTGGTGACCAGATTCCTCTGCCTAGGCGGACAAGAGAGAGCTTTGCAAATTTCCCTAGGGCAAACCCAATGCTTTAATTTGAAAACAAAACCATTACTCATGCGTGGGTGCTCTAATTATACAGCTTTATTTCAGGTCACTGGTGCTGTTCCCTGCAGCCGGAACCCATGCCTCTCCAGTATGATAGTTGGGGAAACTTCAGTGCTCCAGTATTGGCTCTGGAGATCAAAGAAGTCTGAGAGAGACAGCCACTGTTCTTACATCATTTCCTTATTTATTCACCAGAGCGCCAGGAGCAGAGCGAGCGATGGTCAGATTTTAATTCCAGAGAAAACCTTCAGGGTAGTAGACATCAGGCTTTCAAGTCACCTATTCAAACTGTATAAGCCTCTTGCAAAAGAGTTCCAGAACATTTGAGTGCCTACTAGGTAGTAGGTACACGTTTGCCCCAGGTTCCTGTAGAGAACTGGGAACCTTAAATGAAGTCCTTTCTGATACAGGAGAAAAATATTGGAACTGGCTATCCAAAACAGGAAAATGGAATCCTTACAGGGTTAAAGAAAAGAAGCTGCCCTCTGAAAGTCTTCTGGAAGGAGGAGCAATCTGGCAGGGGTTGGGGGGAGGTGTGAAGCAGACCATGCCCTGTGGCAAGTGCAGTGCCAGCAAAGAAGCCCTGTTGGGGAAGTTTGCAGCAGAGTAGCCACTGGAGATCAGGGCTTTGCCATGTGTTTGAGGCTGCAAAGTTGGGCTCTGTCTGATAGGCTAAAGGGCAGTGTTAGTGTTTATTGGTTGTTTAGCATCAAGTTGATCTAAGGAGTCTTGCATTATACACAAAAGGGCCCGATGGATCTCCTGGAACCCTGATGTCCAAGTGGCACCACGTAACAAATTCTAATTCAGTTGGTTGGTTGGGGTGGGGTCTTGGCCTTCACTTTTTGGTTTGCTTTTTTTTTTTTTTTAATTAACTCTTGGTTTTGAGATGAAGTCTCACTATATATCCTCTGTTTTAAAGCTCACTCTGGTCTTGAAACTCAGGATTCTTGGTCTCCTGACTTGCTGCCATTAAAGGCACACACCATTATGATACACAGGTTTTGGGTTTTTTTTTTTTTTTTTTTTGATATTTAGCTCTTTCCTAATGATCTGTAGTGTAGCTCAGTGACAGATCACTTGCCCAGCATGAATGAAGCTTGGGGTTCCAGCCCAAGCAGCACACTACAAAATCAAAACACAGACCACAACTCTCTTTTTGGTAATTCTTGTGTATGGTATGCATCATCAGGGTTGATGGCTACTGGACTGGATGTGGGGAAAACAGTTAAAACGTCACAGAAGGTTGGAAATGATAAAGGAGACCCAGACTGCACCCCCAGCAATGAGAGACAAGGCCAAAGTGAAAGTATGGCTTGCAAGATAATTCCAACGTCCCATAGCTGGAGCTTCACTTATGATAAGGCAATGTGAAGAGTGTGCGGTTAGGAGCATTGGAACACTGAGGAATGCTTAAGCCTGTGGTAGGGAATGACAGTGTTGGCCCTCATTGCAATGTCTCTGTAGAACGTTGTTCATGCAATAGATGAGTTTGGGCCATGGTTTGTTTTTGATGGATATACAGTAAGTATACATATTTATGGGCTACAATGTTAATGTTTCAACATGTATACATATGTGTATGTGTTTATACTCATGTACATATATTATATAAGACCTATAATGATTAGCATAGCCATCACCTTAAGCACTTGCTCTTTTTTTTTTTTTTTTTTTTTTTTTTAGATGAGAATAGGAAAAAGCCTTTCTTCCTAATTTGAAGTATATACTATTGTACACTGCTGAAGACAGCAGCAGACCCCATTGCTCCTACCTTCCATCACAGTGCTGAACCCTTTGGCAAGTTCCTCAACACCACTGCTCATCCTTAGCCTTGGGAGCCACTGTTATAGTTCAACTTCTATTAGGAATTTTCATGGATAACTGTGAATGCTCCCAGTAGCATGAAAATCTTGTCCCAGTCTCCTCAGTACTACCATTACAGACATGCAACACCTTGCTTCTATGTTATCCTTTTCTCTCACTGAATAGCATCCATTTTATATGCCTACCACATTGCCCTTTTCCATGTCTCTGTTGCTGGGCCCTGAGAGAGTTTCCGTTTGGGAGCTGTTGTATATAGTGCTAAGAAACTATCCAAATGCAAGTGTCTCTTCAGCAGGGGTTTCTTTCCCTTTGGATACATATCCAGTGCTGGTATGACTGGATCCTAGATGGTAATTCTCCTTAAACAAGTTTTAAGGCATCTCCATATTATTTTCAAAGTGGCATACATTATCACCCAGAATTTTAAAAAGCTCTCTTTCTGAACAGGGCGTGTGGCTCAATGGAAGAGTAGCAGCCTATGTGGGACCATGAATTCAACCTCCAGTATAGTTAGAGATGTGCTCACTGTTGCTCTATCTCTTTTTGGCAGCCCTCATTCTGACTAGAGTGAGATAGTATCTCTTGGAGAGTTTCAATCACTTTCCCTTGATGACTATTGAAGTCGGTTATTTCTTCATAAGCACATTGGCCATCACTTGTCTTCTAAGAAATCTCTTCTAAGGGCTTTTGCCTATTTGGGTTTCTGTTTATTCTGTTGCTTTGTTTTGCTAATGAGTTATGCAGGTCTCTTACAGGTTTTGACTATTATCAAGTGTACCACAAATGTATCTGTTGGTTAGTTGTTTCATACAAAGGAAGCTTCCCAGTTTGATGTAGTCTCTTGTTTTTGTTCCCTATGCTTTTGAGGTCTTAGGAGTTAAGTGATTTTGTGCTTTCACTATTAAGAACAAGACACAAAAATTCCTAGGCTCATCCAGTGGTCACTAATGATTAAAATCATTAGTGTTTCCACAAGCTGAAGTTTTCTCAGTTGAGAGTCAACTTTCCTCCTTTCTCCCTAACCTTGAAGTCCAAAGTTTAAGACCCTCTGAGTGACAAGTATAGTTTCAAATTTAAGAAAGTTAAACACAGACCACAACCCATGTGGCTGGAGAGATGGCCAGTGGTGAGTGCTTGTGGAGCAAAGTACTCATGTAAAAATCAGACAGGGCTGTGCATGCCTGTAACCCCAGGCTGTCTCTAGGTGATGTGGTGGAGAGCAATAGAGGAAGAAACCCAGGGTCCTCATCTGATTTCTACATGTATGCACATGGGTGAATGCATCCACATCCACATATATACACCACACCACCCACATACTCACACACTCACACCTACACCCACCCACCAGCACAGTGAATCCACAGGGTAGGTAATTTACAGCTTGGTGTGAAGTTTTTTTTTTTTTTTTTTTTGTTTTTGTTTTGTTTTTTTGTTTTTTTGTTTTTACAAATCCCTGACTGAAGTAAACTTCCATGAGCAGTGATTTTGTAGCTGGTGACTTGATGACTTTATGGGGAAGTTGAAGCCCCACAGAGGCTGATGTAAGAAAGTGGGGGGGGGTCAGTGTTAGATTGTTCCCCATCCCGACTCCCCAAAACAATCATATTTCCCAGTTACATTTGACTTTCAGATACACAGAGAACCATTTCGCATGTGTATACTCTAGATGTATGTTTGTACATTATGTATTTGTGTGTGTGTGTGTGTGTGTGTGTGTGTGTGTGTGTGTATGTGTCTCGCATACACTCAGAGGCTGAGCGTCTTCCTCAATTACTTTCTTCTACATGGTATGCTTTGAAACAGGGTCTCTCCTTGAACCAGGAGCTCACTAATTCCACTAGCCTGGCTGGCCAGTAGACTCCCATGGATTCCCCTGTCTCTGAAGCCCTAGTACTGGGATTTCAACCTGTGCTACTGTGTACATCTTCCATATGGGTGCTAAGGATCAAACTCGGGTCTTTGTGTTGGTGAAGGAAACACTTTTGCCACTGAGCCATATCAGCAACCCCCATCATTCTTAACACCATATTCACATAACATATTTTGAGTGTAAGCATGCAGTTTGTGAAATCATTACACTATGGGCAAGTTTAAGTAGGCACTCTGAACTGACTATGGTGACCATGTGACTAAAGCATAGCCTGAGTCTCCTGCCTGCAGTGTGGTGACAAGATCAAATGCAACCTGCTTCTCTCAGACCCTACTTCAAAGAACAGGGTGCTCTTAGCCCCCTGCTGGAAAGGCTTTTCAGAGCAAGGAGAAAGAGTTGAGGCTGCTTTGTGCTGCCCTTTTTGCTCTAACTGCTGCCTTCTATCTGTTTATTCAATTATTAAAAATGGGACTTTGGCTGTCAAGCTGTTCCTCTCTCCCAGGATGCCCACTTAAATTTCAGCTTGCATTTTAGATAAAACAATGGATAAATTTTTGTTAAGGTTGTCCCCAATGGATAAATGTCATTGAAGTTGTCTTTTATCCCACTGAGCTGTAGCTGGCTAAGGTTCCCCAGGGAGGATGCTGCTCCATTGCTACCCTGCCTGGCCCTCCCTTCTTGAGCAGCAGAGGAGAAAGTAGAAGTAGGCGAGCACTCCCAGGCTAGTTGCTGTCTCTTGCAAAGACAGACTTGGAGAAGTCACAAGACTTTAGTACACTAGAGAACAAAGCGTGGGCAGGAACCCCAAGACATGAGTCTCAACAGTTTGCTTGGATGCTTGTACTTTCAAAACTTTAAAAAATGTTATCATTGTCATTAGTGTGTGTGTGTGTGGTCAGAGGACATTTCTGGGAGTTGGTTCTATCTACCTTAGGTTCTGGAAATAAAAGGTCAAGACTGAGTAGCATGTACTTCTATCCAGTGATCCATCTCAGCAGCTGATGTGCAATGCCTTTTATCACAGCTCTAACAGAAAGTTCTAGGGTTTCCTTCAGACCACTTTAGAAGGCACAACCTTTTTATTTCTGTTTTGTCATCCTCCTCATCATTTGTTGTGTGGCTACAATGTGCTGCTCACTTTGTCCAAAGTCTAGAACTTCTTGGGTAGGGAGATAGCTCAGTCAGTAAAGTGGCTACTGGGCAATCATGAAGACGAGTTTAGATCCCCAACACCAACATGAGTGTCCATCTGTAAACACAGCATAGGGTGGGAGTGGAGAGTAGTGACAGGTAAACCCTGAATGAAGCCCATTGGCCAGACAGTTTAGCAAATCAGTGAGTTCCAAGCCCAGTGGGAGATCCTTCAAAAAATTATATGGCCAGCTGTTGAGGTAGACAACAGAGGTTGACTGTTGGCCTCTGCACATGCATGCACACATATATACACAAATATACACATACATTAAATAAGAGTAGAACTTCTTTATATTAGACAATAAATAAATCAACTTAAAAAGGGGAAAAAATACAGGTTGTCACGTAGTCCAGGTTGGCCTCAAATTCTTATGTAGCCCAAAATGACTTTTAATTCTTGGTCTTTCTGCCTTTATCTGCTGAGTTCTGTGATTCCAAGCGTGTGCAGCCAAACCTTGTTTATGCAGAGCTGGGGAAGGAAATCAAGGCTATGTGTGTGCAAGACGAGCTCTCCTCCAGCTGCTCTGTATCCCCAACCCCAAAGCTAGGTTTATGGACACTTGGGGAGAATGCCCTTTTGCTTTTTTACCTTCACTGTCTTCTTAGATAGATACCTCCCTTTCTCTAATTCTCATTTAAATGACTGACTTCTGGAGAGATTAGCTGGTGAGCCCTATGGGGAATTCCTTAGGACCTCTCTAGGTGGGGTCTTCAGGTTCTAGTATCCCATGGTCCAGTTCCCTCTTGGCTTCCTGGCTTCTCTGAGATTGAACAAAATTCCCCAGGTTTCTGTTCCTAAGCACAAATTTCAGTTACCTAGTGTAAGCATTGCAGGAGACAAAGGGCTGAACTCCAAAGGGCTGCCTGTAGTCTGTATATAGCAGATAAAGCTCCCTTCTTATAAACATGTGTACACAGAAGATAAAGTCCTGTCATCTTCTTTAAATTCAAAGGCAGTGAGATGCAGTGAAGAGAAAAGGTCTGGCTGGTGACTGTTGGGTTTCCTTTACTCATAGAACACTGCATCATTGTGTTGTATGTCTTACTGCTGTCTGTTTTCAGGTAAGATGACACCCAACAGCCCTCTGTCAGGAACCAGTCTGGGTGGGGACTGCTGTCTCCAGAATGAAAAAGAGATTGATTTCCTGATGATGACTGTCAGTCAGTTAAGAGTTCATAGTTGGTAGACAGATAGCCCAAATCCAATGAAAGTGCTATCTACCCTACAGTCTAGATGATTAATTTTACTTCTGTGTTGCGAGAACCACATGGGGATCAAAGAACTAGATTGTTTGTAGATATGTATGATTTAACCATCTGACCTGGACTTTACATCCTCATCCTTCTCAAGAGTGCAAGATGGCTGTGGTTGTGTCAAGCATTGTGTATGTGTTCCAGTTGTAGAGGAGGAAGGGATGGTAGCTGACTCTCTCTTTGTGCAGTCCCCATTTTTTTTCCCCAAAACTTAACTCCTTTGAATTACACCTAAATATAAAAAGGTCAGGGGTCTTCCCACCTCTGGAGTTGGAAGATGATGGAAGAAGGGTGAGAAGTAGATGTGTTGGTTTTAGAAGCCATAGCATCTGGGGTATATAGGCATCCACTAGCTAGCAGGGGCAGAGCCCATCCAGGGAAAATGATTGGCAGTTACCGCCTGGGGCAACTGGGCCATGGAGGATTTAAGCAAATCTCCTTTTCCTTTTCTAATAAAAGAGAGCCAGGTGAAAATTATCCTGTTAACTAAAAGTCAGACTCAGCTCTCATGTAACTCTACAGTATTAGTAGTAGTTAGAATGCATCTTTAAAGCTGGCCCTTTTAGTAACAGGACAGCAGAACCTGCTACCTGGAATAGATTACACTTAACTACACAGTTTATCGACCTAATGGTCCTCTAGCTGTCCTTTGCAAAGGTTGGCGAGCATTGTCATCATCCGTAGGTGTGTACCTTATTGCAGGCTTCATAAGCAACTTGTATAAAATCAGCTTCCGAGACAATTATACCTAGAACCTGTTCACTAGATGTACCTGCACATCTCTGCAGTCACATGACTCTGGTGGAATCTAGAAGTTTCCTATGCTCTTCTTTACTGTATTTGTGAAGATGACTGAGACCTGCAGGGGGCCACTGACCTGCCAGGGGTTCTGGCCATGGTACTGATGACCCAAAAGCCCAGATCTTGTCTGAGAAAAGAACCAGGAGAAATGCAAAGGCTGTTAAACAACTGCTAGGAAGCTTGCTTCTGTCTCTCTGGGTTGTTTTTTATCATATATAAGATGGGCCTGATGGTACCCAGTTCACTGTGTTAGTTGAAGAACTGAATGAATTCACTGAGGTATATCGGATAAAACAGTGACCACTTAGACCCATAGTGAATTATAGAGATTTTTACGATTTCTTCTTTTGATTACCATGACCACTGCCATCATTTTTTATCAGTATTGCTCTTGCAACAGCTGCTTCAATTATTTATACTCGTTGTTGTTGTTGCCTCTTATATTGTTCTAGGGACATGTGGACCCGAGATTTATTATATTCTACTATTTGTCTTAAAACTTTTATTTATGTAATGTATTTTTATTACATATACACATTCACATAGTATTTGCTTGCTTTGTGGCATTTCAAGGAATGTAATACTATTTGATCATATTCTTTTTAATTTGGCCCTAGAAAGATGACCCAGAGGGAAAAGTGCCTAACCCACAAGCCTGACATGGTGAATTCTATTCCCAGAACCCATGTCAAGGTTGAAAGAGAGGTCCAAATCCTCTTCTGACCTTATACATTTTATGTATGACCTGCTTGTACACACCCTCAACACATTGTCCTAACATACACTATTAATAAATTTAAAGCATTTTTTTTCTGTAAACTTTACATATGCTACAAACAGCCGCAATATGTAGTTGGCACATTCAAAAGTCTCTGGCTTATCTAGACCCAGGCATCCTTCCTTTTGACTAAGCCCTTTCTTCAGGTCTGGGAGGGAGGCAGATGGTCAGAGACTGGGATGTGCAGAGCAATGCAAATTGCTACTTTGACTCTTAAATGTAGTCTTGTAGAAACCACATTGGAAATGTAACATTCCTGGCTTCCCAGTTGTCAGTTTGCAGGCTGCAGAACAAATAATGAAGGGGGGGGGGAGCAGAAGGCGGGAAGTATGTGGCCTTCTAAATAAAAGTTTCCATGTGTGCTGGCCCAGACTGCCTGGCAGGTCTCTGGGTGGAAAAGAAGTGGGAGATAACTCACCAGTCCCCAGCGTTCCTTTGTTTTTACTTCTGTGTCTTCCTTAAACAACGTTCACTACGCAGTGGGCACTTGAGAGAGTAATTTTGGTAGTTACAAATGTTACTGCTGTTCCCCAAACTTCCAGTTCCTGAAAACATTATCACAAGGATGGAAACTTTGTAAATTCCATAGTAACTATTTTTGAGTCTCTGCTGTGTGTTGGGTTCTGAAAAATTGCTAGTTTCTTTTAAAGTTTTTAATACTGGAGACATACATGCATCACAGGCTGGTCTCCATCTCTCTGTGTCCTCGAGGATGAAGCCTCGATTGCTGTTGATCCTGCCTCCACCTCCTGAGTGTTGGGATGGAAGCCATGTGCCACCACACTGAGGAGCACACTATAGGCTCTGTCCCAGTCAGGAAAGACTACCATTGGGGCCACATCCTCATTTCTTTCTGTCTTTTTGAAACTGATTCATTTTTTTTTTTTTTACTTCATAAGCATGATGTGGTGAGAAGGATACCAATATAGAGACAGAGGACACCTTGTGTCAATGTTTTCTCCTTCCACTGTGTGAGTCCTATGGATGGAACTCAGCTGGCCAGGCTTGGCCACAGGCACCTTTAGCCACTGAGCCATGTCCCTGTGTGCGCCCCCTCCCTAACCCTTTTCTCTTGGTAGCTTCTCCCTGAAGTGGAAGGGGTCACCGTCATTTTTCCTCATTTGTATCTTCAGCAGAACGTTGGGCTTCTGGCTGGACACCTGCCCCCCCTTCCCAGGATAGAGCCCTGAGACTGCATGGCTGGTGCTCTGTTTATATTTGCTGAGAAAATTGCAAGCAAGTGTTATTTATTGAGAGCCCTGCCCTTGTGGAGAACTGCGGGCTCTATGGGATTGATGTTGTTTCTTGTGCTTTGTTTGGCCCTACACTTATATTCACCCCTCCCCCAATCTCCTTTATGGCTTGCTCTATACTACTTAAAAACTTTTCTGAGATGAATCAGGGAACACATACACAAATAGTTTTCTTTTTTTTTTCCTCACCAGAAATCGACTTAAAGCCTCCAGAGAAGTAGAATCTGTAGACCTTCCAAACTGCCACTTGATTAAAGGAATCGGTATGTATGAGAAGATGCTTGTGGTGCTTTCCAGTGCTTGCTGTCTATGCCCTTTGCTGTTGTTCAACCATTATTAGGATAGCTCATTTGATCAATAGGTACCTCTCTGGCCCTTTTGATCTTAGGTTTCCTGTATTTCTTTTTTCCTAGAGTAATTAATTGTGTGTACACTTATTGTTTGATTTTGGGTTCCCTTGGGGACATCTCTGAATTGCATTTGTATAGTTAAAATTTTCTATGTCCCCTGTAGTCTGTGTTTTGAACAGTGTTGGGAATTTGGAAGGAAGGTGCATTCTACATAAGTAGGAACAGTATTGATCATGCTCACCATCCTGTCACCAACATCTGGTCTTCTCTCTGCCATACAACTGATGCTTATCCATTGGAAACAACAGCAGCAGTAGTGTGTTAGTATTTTTCTGTTGCTTTGAAGAGACACCATGACCAAGGTAACCTATGAAAGAAAACATTTAATTAGGGGCTCGCTTACAGTTTTAGAAAATTAGTTCATGACCATCATGGCCAGGAGTACAGAAGCAAGCAGGCAGACAGGCATTTCACTGAAGCAGTAGCTGAGATCTCACATCTGAACCATAGTTTGCAGACAGAAAGAATGGGGCCTGCTTTTGAAACCTCAAAGGCCATCCTTAGTTGCACATCTCCTCCAACAAAACCCCCTGATTGTTGGAAACCACCTTCCCTAACTGGGGACCAAGTATTCAAATATGCAAGGCTATGGGGGCCATTCTCATTCAGACCACTAGAAGCAGCAACAATGAACTATTCTTATTTAATCTTCTTAGCTGTGAACACAGAAGGAGGAGCAAATAATCAAGACGGGCCCTGCCTTTCTGACTCTGTGTAGGATGTGACTTGGTGTCTCAGGGGCAGCTTCTAAGAGCAGCTTGGGTCTGCTGCAGACAATGAGGGATGTGCATAGACACAGTGGGCCTCTCCACATTCTCTGTAGTTGTCTCCAGGGCGGAGTCCCCTTCTTGTTGGTTTTTACCTTTGCCATCAACCAAAGTCCCTAGGAGTTAGTAGATTCTTAGCAATTGCTATTAACTTATCAATCGGCTATAAAAATGCTGGCTTTTCTAGAGATAGTCAGATGTCAAAACATCTTGTTTCGTGCTTCGTCCTTGCTATACAAAGCATCATGAACATGGGTAAAACTTATTAGTAACTTATAATGTGGACTTTGAAGCTTTTAGACTTTAAAGCTTTTCTTTTCTTTTCTTTTTGAGCACTCTAAAAGCTATAATATGAAAGTAAGTAACACTGTGTCCTTCTAGTCTTTATGAGACAGCATTGGCCAGGGGAGAGACAATTGGATTGTTTTTAAGCAAATTAAAATCTATATTACACAGAAGTGTCCTGCTTCTTATAGCTAATAACACCATTAGATAAGTTTTGAATATTTCTAAACCAGAGTTTTTCACTTAATACTTTGTTTTGACCACTTCTGTCCACATAATTACCTTCCTTTCTAACAGCTGAACACTACTGTCTGTAAATTCATCTAAACATTATATGTTCAAATGAAGGCTACACCTGGAAATAAAAGTCTTCAGCAAACTTCATTCTTTCACAGCTAAACTTCATTTAGCTCTAGAGATAAAACTTTTTACTTCCCTGATAGGCTTAGTACACATGCAGAAACATGTACACAAATGGCATATTACTAGCTGTTGGCCTTTCTGCTTTACTCTGCTTTTCCTGAGTGGTGGGAGCAGCACCATGAACTGGCACATGCAGGTCTATCTCTCAGGTATGGACAGGTGTCTATGTGTACAGGTGTGTGTGTGTGTGTGTGTGTGTGTGTGTGTGTGTGTGTGTATGCGTGTGCTCCTGCACTCGTTCACAGGAGTATGTGTGTGGAAGTACTTGTAGTGGGGAATTTGTATGTCTAGGTGTGGACGCTACAGGACAAACTCAGCTAAGGTTTCTTGGGTGCAATTTAACATGTTTTTCTTTTCTTTTCTTTTTCTATGTAGGATCAAATTTGGGTCTTTATGCAAGGCAAGAACTTTAACAACTGAACTACTACCTTAGCCCTACCTCAACATTTCTTTCACTGTTGTTTTATCTATTTAGTCTTTGGGTTTGTTTGTTTGTTTTTGTTTGAGATATAGTCCATGTAGTCCTGAGTAGCCTGGAGCTCACTTTATAGACCGTACTGGCCTCAAATTGTTTTTTTGTTTGTTTGTTTTTTAATATTTTCATGTTCTATTATTTATTTATTAAATCTCCTTTTAATGTACATTCTGTATCTTGTAAAGCTTTTCATTACTTTACATTTTAAAAAAGTATGTGTAGCAAACGGCAGAGTTCATAATTTTAACCATCTGAGGTGTAAATTCAATAATAGTAAATATATTTTCATTATTAGAGAACTTATTCCATAGCCCAGGCTAAGTTGGAACTCACTTTGTAGCTCAGGTTGACCTTGAACTCATAAAGACACTTCTGCTTCTGCCTCAAAAGTGCTGGTATTACAAGTATGGTTTCCCATGTTTGGTTTGAAGGCCAAAAAATTATCTATTGCCACATTTGTTTACCCATTGAGTTGTTAATTATAGTCTTTTACCTTATAATTTTCTGTCCAGATTACAGAGCATTTCCCACAGAAATATCATCTTAATCATATCAATTCGGCAAAAGAATTCCACAGGCCAAAAAGGAGGGGCAGGGTATTTATTTTGATTGAGGTGCCTAATATTTTAAAACTGAAGGACTGCTTGATGTGCAATGGCACACTCTATTGTCACAGCACTGGAAAGGACGTCTACATTTTTAGATTCTTCATCAGACTGCTCCAAATATCTCCAAATAAATAATAGTAGAAGTAAAAAATGGTGAATTACCATGGGAATGCCGCGACAGGGAGTTTTGTTTTGTCTTGTTTGTCTAGAGTGGTGTGTTTTTTTTTTTTTTTTTTTTTTTTTTTTTTGGGTTTGAGGAGAAAAAGAGAAAAGGAAGAAAAAGAGGAAAAGAGAAGGGGGAAGATGGAAGTGGGAGGAGGAGAAAATACAACAAATGTTGAACTAAAGACCAAATTGAGAAAACTGGTAACTCATCGACCTTCCTTGCAGCCAATCCTCAAGGGGAATTGTGCACAAGATTTCCATGGCACTCTTTCTGGCAAAGATATTATAGAGCAGCCTCAGACTGTAAACTTATGCCATAATTAAGTTTTTACATGAGCCAGATTAACACTCAAACTTGCTAACTAAGTAACTTTCTCCTGCTTGGTCAGAGTACATAGGGAGCATCCAATGAAACCTTATTTGTTAATTATATCCAACATGCACATTTTAGGTTATTTTCCTTTATTAACTTTTATCTTATAAATGGTAAATGTTTCTTCATGGTTCTTTTGGGTACACTACTATGATTTTATACATATGTGCAAACTGCAATGATTAAATTAAATCAAATGAGTCAGATTTCCATCTCCTCAGATACTATTACTATTAAGTGTTGAACACCTTCAACTTTCCCCTTGTTGTTACCTTAAAGGGCCTACTTAATGTGTATAGAGTGAACTTACTCCATTGTGCTATAGAACATTAGTACAACTTCCAACCCTATTTTTGGTATGAATTATTCCATCTGCTATTCCCCTGCCCCTTGGTCATCCTAGCATCTAGTGATCCGAGTTATATGGTCTCTATTTCTATGTGACAAGCTTATTTGTCACTAGGTCACTGAGTGAGACTAGGTTACCACTTGTCTTTTTGAGCCTTGTTGGTCTGATATCATTTTCCAGTTCTAGTCTTGTTATAGCAAATGAGAGGATATTGTCCTTAGCCTCTTCATTTTTGTTTTCCAGCGTGTTTCTGTTTGTTATTGGTTTGGAGTCAGTCTCATGGTTGCTGTTTAGCTTCATCTGGCATCAAACTTATAATCTACCTACCCCAGCCTCTTCAGTGCTGTTTATAAGTATATGTTTATAAGTATATGACCCCATAGCTGACTCAAGACTTTACACTTTTATAATAAAATAACATTCTGATATAGCTACAAATGAGAACTACCATTTTTTTGAAGTCTGCTCATCCATAGACAGACATCTTGGATCTTACCTGTTGAGTCTGCATCTTACCTGTTGTAAATATCCCATGGTAAGCATAGTCATGCAAATATGTCTTTGATTTTAATGACTCCATTTCATTGGCTATCTACCCATAGAGGGACTGATAGATCATATGTAGTTTTCTGCACTCTTAATCCATAATGACTATGTTATTTACACACACACCATACCCCTTGGCAAGTAAACAAGATTTCCCCTTTCTCCTCATCCTCACCAACATTTGTTATCTTGTGGTGTTTTTCATTTGAGCCATTCTAAAGGAAGAAAATATATCTTACTCTAGTTTTGCCTTGTACTTCCCTAGTAATTAGATATTCAACTTTTTTTGTTGGCTCTTTGTGTGTCTTCTTTTGATAGATGTGTGCTGGGTACATTTGCCCATATTTCAGTTGGATTTTGGATTTTGTGTTTGGTTTGGTTATGCATTCTGCATACTAACTCTTTGTCAGATGAACAGCCCATGCACATGTCCTCCTGTTCTCTGGATTTTCTCTTCACTCTGCTGAAGGGTTCCTTACACAAACCAATGATCATCATTGCTCTTGCATTTGTATGTCTGTGAATAGCTACTTAACAGCGAGAGAGACTTCTGTCTTCAGGAAATGTAAGTTTTGGTGGTCATTGCTGAATTACCATCAAGTTGACAAAAATGATAATGCCACCAGTTTACAACAGCATTAAGTCCAAACAGCATTGGTTCTTTTAAGTTCTCTTCAGCAAAAGCAAAGTCTCTGTGTTCCCGAGAGTTTCCCTGCAGGTGTGCTGCTGGCCCCATGTTCTGTACATCTCTTTCCCGTGAGTTCTGTCCCCTTTTTTCATTGCTGTGTTTGTTTTTTCCTAGTCCTAGTTTCTTCTCCCTACTCTGCATAGTTTTCATGGGGCTTCTCCTTCTTACTATCGT